CATGGGTGAAGATTCGGGTTTTCACCTGGAAAATAAGATCAGTATTAAAAGTCCCTTCTGCTGGCCAGCTGGTGTTGAATGTTGGCCATTCTGAAGTACAGAGAGTTTTCCATTTTTTCTTTTTGACTGTCACGGACAGGTTGTCTGCTCGATCTTGAACGTCTTGCCAATGATCTAGAGTTAGGCTCAAAGGGGTTGTTAGTGATTGTCCCATGTTACTTTCAGAGAGGAAATAGAGAGACAGACACAATGACACAAAAACGAAACCAAACAGTGAGATCGCTGCGCGGCTTCGGTGGAAACCGAACAAATCAGATGGCCTGGGAGAAGTTTGTACTTCTCTTTCGCCTACAAAAATGGTGTAACCCTCGGAAACACCGGGGGCCCCAAAGAAATGGACCCTTCTGATCCCTGGGACGTCTCCCAGGGTGGCAGGGGAGAAGTCCGAGTTCGTCAACTCCTTCTCAAGCTGCCTCAGAATACTAAATGACAGAACTGCCTCAGAATACTCAGAATACTAAATGACTATGCCTAGGATCATATAGTCTTACAGACGCTGCGCGGAACAAAGAACAGATAACCAACAGGACAACAAGACAGTCAGTTTGAGCTGGCCAGCTTACCTCCCAGTGATGTCGGGTGTCCTCCGGATAGGGACCGGGATCGGAACCGGAACCGGGATCTTGGATCTCGGTGGGACCTCCACAATGAAATATCCACAGATCCCAAACCCGGAATGAACCACACGAGACACTGGCTGCAAAAAGCAGGAGGCGTTTATTCTCACACAGGCGCCTGCGGGTGCACAGCAAAACCTCAGCCGGAGCTTTGATGAGCTGGCACACCGGGCTTTGGGGTATAGATCTTTTATATGGAACAGGTGGGTTAGGTCTTAGCTTAGCACAGCAACAGCCTTCCTATTGGTCCCTCTGAATTTAGCAGTTGAGTCACCTAGGGGGGTAAACTTGTTTTTCAACTTTTTGTTCTCAGAAAAACCATAAAATTGCATTCTGTCCTTTCAGTTCCTGTTTTTAAACCTAGTTCTCAAGTTTAACCAGTAGGACTGTCTAAAAGGAACATCTTGTGATAGGGGGCCCATTAGGGTTATCTACATGGAACATCTTGTGGTAACATTGTGCAACACCTGAGGTGCTACATGCTGCTGGAGGGGTTTTGACATGGGGGTTGGGTGAGGATGTGTCTTGCAGCTTTGAGGCCTAGGGGTTTGGTCATCTAATGCTGGGCCTGGGTCTTGAGGTCCTACACTGTCAGGTTTTTGTACAATACCTGCTGTGTCTTCTGACTCATCATGTAGTGGTCCTTATACTGGTATACCTGTGACTAAGAATTTCTTTTTGGATATTCTCTCTCAGAGTGGCTTCATGCAGGGGAAGACCTTCACTAATAATCTCAGCTAGATATTTCATGACCTCTCCATCCTTTCTGAAAATTCAAATTCTCTGAGCCTTTCAAGCAGAGAGCTGTGACCTGTCACAAATGAATAACCTACTATTCCTCCTGTGGTTTGTCTGCAGTACATGGGTGCTCAACCAGTTGTCAAGTTCTCTCTTGTTCTCAGGGGCCTCTATTTCAGCTCTCTATGTCACAGGAGACAGAAAACCATCACCTGAAAAACCAAAATGTTGGACTTATGTTACCTTTTTCTGACTCCCGAGGAGAACACTGAGAATTTGTTATTTTCTCTGATCATACCAGATTGTGTCCACTTAAGAACAGGCTGTTCTGGGTACTTGTTCCTCCCCATTTTCAATTAGGCTGTTCTTATTTTTGCACTCTGTGCTGATGTTGTCTTAGTTTTACTAACATTATTTGTTTGGGATAGAGGGCTGTCCATACCTCCAGGTGTGGTTGTGAAAGAGAAGTCGTTTTCCAGAGCTGCTAATATACATGGAGTCTATGCCCTTTTTAAGTAGTTTGGGAATCCTTGGAATTAAAAATGGATATGTTTCATTGTTCAGTGTATAAATGTAAAATGTGGTGAATGAAGTTACGTTTAGATTTGCTAAAGTGAAAATGAATGGTAACTTTGGTTAAAAGAACTTTAGAGGGGTACTTGAGGAGTAAATCACTAGAGTGAGTTCAAGAGTGAATGAAGAGCCTGAGAGGGCTGAATGGTAGTGCTTGCCCTGGAATTGACCCAAGGACTTAAAATGACAATGAAGTCAGTGAGTACAGATCCTCCTCTCAGTGACATCAAACTAAGTGGCATAGTTGTGGGTGATCTAATTTTTATCTTGTTTAACTGTGTCTTTCAATTCTGACATAATAATCATGCAATATATTTACCACACTTCAAAGAGTCTTAAAATTATACACATGGAGTACCAAAAAAATACTAGACTAAGCTTTTAAGTAATAAATTCATAAAATTGCAAACTAAACAAAAACCCCTTGAATATTTTTCACCAATTTCTTATAAAATCTATTAATTTGCTAATTTTTGTGAATAAAGAGCACATAAATAAAAAATAATTTTGAGGGTGAAAGATCCACAGATCCCAAACCCGGAATGAACCACACGAGACACTGGCTGCAAGAAGCAGGAGGCGTTTATTCTCACACAGGTGCCTGCGGGTGCTCAGCGTAACCTCAGCCGGAGCTTCGGTGAACTGGCACACCGGTCTTTGGGGTACAGATCTTTTATAGGGAACAGGTGGGTTAGTTCTTAGCTTAGCACAGCAACAGCCTTTCTATTGGTTCCTCTGAATCCAGCAGTTGGGTCACCTTGGGGGTAAACTTGTTTTTCAACTTTTTGTTCTCGGAAAAACCATAAAATTACATTCTGTCCTTTCAGTTCCTGTTTTTAAACCTAGTTCTCAAGTTTAATCGGTAGGGCTGTCTAAAAGGAACATCTTGTGGTAGGGGGCCCGTTAGGGTTATCTACATGGAACATCTTGTGGTAACATTGTGCAACACCTGAGGTGCTAGTGCTGCTGGAGGGGTTCTGACATGGGGGTTGGGTGAGGAAGCGTCTTGCAGCTTTGAGGCCTAGGGGTTAGGTCACCTAATGCTGGGCCTGGGTCTTGAGGTCCTTCATTTCCCCCTTTTTCTTTATCCGGGATATAATCTTATATCCATTGATCTACCTGCTCAGAGTCCGGCATTTGCTCAGCTGATGGCTCAGGGTGCTGTGGGAGTACTTGATATTGCTGCGCGAGGACCATAGTTTGAATTACAGACAATCTTTCTTTTATAAATTGCATTAATTTGTTAAATATGCAGGGCCCAAATGTTAAGATCAGCAGCAATACAATTAAGGGACCGGCTACAGTAGAAAATATAGTAGTTAACCAAGGGGACTTATTAAACCAGCTTTCAAACCAACTTTGGGAGCCCTGCAGAGACCTTTCCCTTGCATCTAGTCTTTCTCTAAGCTTTGTCATAGACTCCCTTACTACCCCTGTGTGATCGGTGTAAAAGCAACAGTTTTCTTTTAAGGCTGCACAAAGTCCTCCCTCCTTCAAGAATAATAGGTCCAGACCTCGTCTATTCTGCAAGACAACTTCTGATAAGGAGGTTAGGGATTTTTCTAAAGCAGTTACAGAGGTTTCTATTGCTCTTAGGTCTTGTTGGATTGCAGCCTCTAGAATCCCTAGCTGTCGGGGGCCCTCAACCAGAGCTGCAGCCCCAGTCCCAATTCCTGCCAATACTCCTGCTCCTAACAAGACTGCCAGGGTAAGGCTGATAGGCTCTCGGGTGTATCGAATCCTGCCCATGAAATGTCCTTCAAACTCCTCTGAGGAATAATAGAATAGTCGTGGGTAGATTCGGACTAACACACAAAAATCAGTGGAGGCATTGAGGATTGCCGTGGAAATACAGGGGGTCAGTCCAATGTTGCAGGCCCAATAAGTTCCGGGGGGACCCCACAAATAATTATTTTGTGAGCCATTTGTCAGGAGGGTGGTGTTACAGAGAGGTTGATGTGACAGGGGTATATTTCCTACACAGATCCCTTGTCCTGAAACTTCAGTGATGGTGAGTTTATAGCCGGGCAGGGACATACATTTAGGATCAGGGTTTATGTTACTGTTCCAGTCAGACATTATTGCTATTCCTTCATAGTAGGGTGGGCCGAAGGTGAGACAGAGCCAACATTCCCGGGTGCGGTCTGGGTCGGTGGCATTGAGGGCATAAAAGGCTCCTTGAATCAAATCTAACAATCGGTTTTCGGTTCCAGGGAGTGTGGGTTCGGGGGAGTAACTAGAGGTTTGATAGTCTATGGTTACAATTTGAGACATGGGTGGCTCACTGGGAGGTACTTTGGGCGGACTTTTTGATTGTCTGGGAACTGAGGGAGCTCTTTGGTCCCCGAGAGCAGGATTAGGTCCTATTGGGCTCATCAAAATTGGGGTTAGAGATAATTTGATTCTGAGAATTACACCGAGATCATCTCCTTTCATAAACCATCTAAGGCCCCATGTTCTCCCAGTGAGCCAGGGATCTAGCTGTTCTTTTCCTTTTTTTGTAAACTGTATCCGTAAGGGCAATGATTTGTCCCCTTGGTAGTAAGATTTAGGGGGGGGATAGCAATCAGAGGGGCGCGTGCCATGGGGAGTGAAGTTTTTGAGTATTGTTATGAATTCCTTATCAGAAGAAGGTTTCCAGTGAGCGTCCCCTGTAGTTTCACAGCCCCAGGAGGAGCAAAAGTATGTTTCATAATTTCCACATCTACGTGCTTGGGTTCGGTTTCTCCCTTCTTTGGGACAAACGTAAAAGTCATGTTGACCCAGTCTGCATCTCGTTATGGGGGTAGAACAATAAGTACTGAGGTCATGTGAGTTGCCGGGAATATCCCAAGAGTCTGATTCAGCGGCTAGTTGGCAAAAGTCTGGGGTCAAAATAGGCCACCATGTGCCAGGGATGTGGGCTGCTGTAATAGACCAAATTATTTTCCCGGTTTCGGAATACACCTGCCAAGTCAACTTCATGGGGGTATGGGGATTACTACCTAGGATGAGGGGAGTAGCGTAGAGAGCAAGAGTGATTAACAGCGTGTAAGTCTTATCTTTAGAGGGTTTTGGGTGCGTTGCAGCCTCCATTCTGGATCCAGAGAGGCGTCTGTGGACTCCTGCGGATGTGCAGCTTTCACGTGGGAAGCGTGGATCCAAGCAGTGATGCCGTCCACTTTGATTGCAGTGGGAGTGGTCAGCAGGATGGTGTAAGGTCCTTTCCACCGCGGTTCAAGGTTCTTGCTCTGGTGCCTGCATACCCAGACGGTGTCTCCGACTTTGAAGGGATGTGGCAGCGAGGGGGTTTTGAGTTCCTCCTTGTATGCTGCGGCTAGAGGCTTCCAGACCTCGTTCTGGACCAACTGCAAGGCACACAAATGAGTCTGCATAGATGGGGTGAGGGAGGCATAGGTTTCAGTTTCATAAAAGTTAACAGCAGGTGGTGGTGCACCGTACAGAATCTCAAATGGGGTTAGTCCCTGTGGGCCTGGGGTGTTCCGGGCCCGGTATAAAGCTAAAGGTAGGAGTTGTACCCAGTCTCTAGTGCCAGTTTCAAGCGTTAATTTAGTTAAAGTCTCCTTGATGGTTCTATTCATCCTTTCTACCTGTCCTGAACTTTGGGGTCTATAAGCACAATGTAATTTCCAATTAATCCCCAATGTATTGGCCACCATCTGACTTACCTGGGAGACGAAGGCAGGCCCGTTATCTGACCCAATGGTCCCAGGTACCCCATACCTGGGAAAGATTTCTTCCAGTAATTTCTTTGCAACCACTTTAGCAGTCTCATGCCGAGTCGGAAATGCCTCTGTCCATCCAGAGAAAGTGTCAATAAAAACCAAAAGATATTTGTAGCCATACATACCAGGTTTAATTTCAGTGAAGTCTATTTCCCAATGGGTTCCGGGCTTATGGCCTTTCATCCGGATCCCTGTTCCAATTTTGATCTTACCAGCATTTACCTGGGCACATGCTTGACAGTTTTCTGCTTCCTGGCGCAGAAGTTGATCCCTGTTTGGAAGATATAAAGTACCTTCCCCACGCTCTAAGAGCTCTTTCATCTTTTTAGCCCCAAGATGTGTCAGTCTGTGTAGGGACTTCACTAATTGTTTTGAATTTTTGAGGGGCATGATAGTCTTTCCTTGATATTTCCAGACGTTTTTCTCAGGGTCGTAAGTGGCCCCCAGTTTCTGTATGGCACTTAAATCCTTATCTTCATAGACCCAGTGTTCCTCATGGTCATCATGTTGTGGGTCTGCTCATTGGGGCAATAGAGTCACTATCAAAAGCTGTGGCCCTAGGGCTGCCTTCTTGGCTGTTTCATCTGCTAATCTGTTCCCTTTGGCCTCTGGAGTATTTCCTCTTTGATGACCGGGACAATGCATGATACTTAACTTTTTAGGCAAAAATAAAGCTTTAAGTAAAGCTAATATTTCAGCCTTATTTTTGATCTCTTTTCCTTCTGAGGTTAGTAGCCCCCAGCGTCTATAAATTTCTCCGTGTATGTGAGCAGTAGCAAAGGCATATCTACTGTCAGTGTACACGTTTAGTTTCTTCCCCTCTGCCAACTTTAAAGCTTGAGTCAGCGCTATCAGTTCTGCCCGCTGAGCTGCTGTTCCGCCCGGAAGTTCACTCGCCCATATTACCTCAGATTCGGTGGTGATGGCTGCTCCTGCTCGTCGTTCTCCATTGAGCAGATAACTGTTTCCATCTGTGTACCAGACCAACTCCGCATCCTTCATCGGTTGGTCGGTGAGGTCTGGCCGGGTTCCCTGTGTCTCTGCAAGAATCTGCTGGCAGTTGTGAGGATCTGCTTTTCCTGGGAGCGGCAGGAGGGTCGCTGGATTCAGTGTCACCACGGGACCGAACTGAATTCGGTCGGTGTCCAATAACAAAGACTGGTAATGGGTGAGTCGGGCATTTGACATCCAGAGATCAGGTGGCTGGCGAATTACAGTCTCAACGGCATGAGGGGCTAATAGGGTTAATGGCTGTCCCAAAGTCAGTTTAGTGGTATCCTTAATCAGAAGAGCCACGGCTGCGATCATCCGGAGGCATGGTGGCCATCCTGTTGCCACTGGATCTAATTTCTTTGACAGGTAGGCTATAGGTCGCCTCCAGGGCCCCAGTTTTTGGGTTAAAACCCCTTTTGCATAACCCCGTTTTTCATCTACAAGTAGATCAAAGGGCTTGGTAACGTCCGGTAAGCCCAAAGCAGGGACTGACAGAAGAGCCAATTTGATGTGTTCAAATGCCAATTGATGTTCTTTAGTCCAAGTGAAGGAGTTACCTTGCTTAGTCAGTAGATACAAGGGGGCTGCTATCTCAGCAAACCCAGGAATCCAGAGTCTACAGAAACCTGCGGTCCCCAGGAATTCCCGCAGTTGCTTGGGACTCTGGGGGGTTGGTATACTTGAGATAGTCTCTTTTCTGGCAGCTGTCAACCATCGTTGACCATCATGGAGTTCATAGCCCAGATAGGTAACTTTTGTCTGACAGATTTGGGCCTTCTTTGCTGACGCCCTATACCCTAATAGTCCCAAAGTTTGCAATAATTCCTCCGTACCTGCCTGGCAATCTTCCTCGGAGGTCGCAGCCAGCAAGATGTCATCTACATATTGAAGCATGATTAGGGAAGGGTGTCTTACTCGGAAGTCTGCCAAATCTTGATGCAAAGCCTCATCGAAGAGTGTCGGGCTGTTTTTAAATCCTTGTGGCAGTCTCGTCCAGGTCAGTTGTCCAGAGACTCCTCCTTCGGGATCTTTCCATTCAAATGCAAAGAGAGCCTGACTTTGGGGAGACAGTCTTAGGCAGAAAAAAGCATCTTTCAGATCCAGAACAGTATACCAAGTATGAGTAGGAGGCAAAGTGCTAAGGAGATTGTAAGGATTTGGCACTGTGGGGTGAATATCTTCTACCCTCTTGTTAACTTCCCTTAAGTCTTGGACCGGTCTGTAATCATTAGTCCCCGGCTTTTTAACTGGCAGTAATGGGGTGTTCCAGGGCGATTGGCAAGGTGTTAGGATGCCTTGGTCTAGGAGGCGTTTGATGTGCGGCTTGATGCCCTGATAGGCCTCCCTTGACATAGGATATTGTTTAATATTGATGGGAGTAGCAGCGGCCTTCAGATGAATGACTATTGGAGGCCGTTGTTTTGCCATTCCCATTCCTCCGGTTTCAGCCCAGGCCTCCGGGTAGGAACTAAGCCAATAGTCCATGTCTCTCATAGATACCGAGGGTTTGTCAAAAAGTTTATATTCGTCTTCCAATTTGAAAGTCAATACATGTAGGGGAGTCTGGTTTGGTCCCGTGATGGAAGCCCTTCCATCCTTAAAATAAATTTGGGCTCTCAATTTGGTCAATAAGTCTCTTCCCAACAGTGGATACGGACAGTCAGGCACGTGTAGGAACGAATGGGAAACCTTACCTGTGGCAAGGTGTACTTCTCTCTTGGTGGTCCACCGGTAGGGTTTGCTCCCAGTGGCGCCTTGGACCCATGTCGTTTTGTGGCTCATGGGCCCTGGTGTCTGTGTCAGCACCGAGTGTTGGGCTCCAGTATCCACTAGGAAGGTCACAGGTTGCTCCCCTACTTGTAGGGTTACCCGGGGCTCAGGGGGGAGCTCCTGGCCCTGACTCCCCTAATATTCATCTAATGCCAGCAGTCGGGGGGCCCGGTTGGTATCTCTCCTGGGGTTGGGGGGTCTCTTTGGGCAGTCTTTTACCCAGTGTCCTTTTTCCTTGCAGTAGGCACATTGATCTCAGTCTACACGGGGTCTGCTTTGCTCCCTGTCCCTGTTTACTCTGTTTCCCTGATGTCCTGCCTGAACTACGGTGGCCAATATTTTACTTAGTTCCCTGTTACACCTCCGCTCTCTTTCTCTTTCTTTTTTGTCTGATTCCTCTCTAAGCTTAAGTTCTCGTTCTTCCTGCATCTTTCTGATCCTGTCCTCTCGTTCTTCTGGAGTTTCTCTTTTGTTATATATCTTTTCGGCTTCCTTCAGTAAGTCTGCCAGAGAAAAATCTTGTAAGTTATCTAATCTTTGTAATTTAGTCCTGATATCTGGGGCGGACTGCCAAATGAAAGCCATGGATATGTTCCCTCTTTGGTCCTCACTGTCAGGATCGAAGGGAGTAAACCTCCGATAAGCCTCCTTTAATCTTTCTAGGAATGCTGTCGGGGTTTCTTCTGCCCCTTGGGTGGTCTGTCTTACCTGAGCCAAATTGGTGGGCCGCCGCCCTGCTGCATGGAGACCCGCTATGAGTAACTGGCGATAGAGATGTAGGTGGTCCCTACCTGCTTCAGTTGTATAGTCCCAGTTTGTCCTGATTAAAGGAAAAGCTTCGTTAATCAAATTTGGGAGTTGGGTGGGACGCCCGTCGTCCCCTGGCACATTTTTGCGAGCTTCCAAAAGAACTTTCTGTTTTTCCTCTGAAGTGAGGAGTATCTGCAGGAGCTGCTGACAATCATCCCATGTTGGCTGATGAGTTACTAGAATAGACTCAATCAGAGAGGTTAAAGCTATAGGGTCCTTAGAAAAGGAAGGGTTATGGGTTTTCCAGTTATAGAGGTCAGAGGCAGAAAAGGGCCAGTACTGACATTGGCCATTGGGGCCCCCTGTCTGTCGCAGGGGGAGAACTCTAGAGGTGTCTCCTGAGGCGGTGTAATCCTGGCGCCCCCGGAGTCGTCCCACCATGGGAGATGGATCCGGGGGAGCACTGGCGGCTGGGCTTTCCTGATTCTCGTCCTCGGAGGATGGCTGATTAGGTTCAGGGGCTTGTAAGGGTTGGGGCTGATAGGGAGGAGGCTCATCAGTCAGCAAGTCAATCAGAGCTGAGTCCTCCGGCGGTAGAACCTTCTTTGGTGTTGTCCCTGTTTTAACTGAGGTCTCAGATTTGTTAAGAACAGGGTAAAGATGAGAGGTTTGGGGAGGGGGAAGTGGAATGAGGGGAGCAGAGGGTTCAAGGGGAGAACGGAGAGGGGGTTTGGGTGGAGAGAAAGGAGCAACCCAAGGGGCAGGTTGGAGGCTAAGTCCTCCGAGGTAACAATGTAGGGTATCTGGTCGGGGTGTCCCTGAGGACCATGGGTGAAGATTCGGGTTTTCACCTGTAAGATAAGATTAACGTCAAAAGTCCCTTCTGTTGGCCAGCCAGTGTTAAATGTTGGCCATTCTGAAGTACAGAGAGTTTTCCATTTCTTCTTTTTGACCGTCACAGACAGGTTGTCTGCCCGGTCTTGAATATCTTGCCAATGGTCTAGAGTCAGGCTCAAAGGGGTTGTTAGTGATTGTCCCATGTTACTTTCAGAGAGGAAATAGAGAGACAGACACAATGACACAAAAATGAAACCAAGTAGGGAGATTGCTGCGCGGCTTCGGTGAAAACCGAAAAAAGAATCAGATGGCCTGGGAGAAGTTCGTACTTCTCTGTCGCCTACAAAAACGATGTATCCCTCGGAAACACCAGGGGCCCCAAAGAAATGGACCCCTCTGATCCCTGGGACGTCTCCCAGGGTGGCAGGGGAGAAGTCTGAGTTCGTCAACTCCTTCTCCGGCTGCCTCAGAAACCTGAGTGATCACAGAACTGCCTCAGAATCAGAATACTAGATAACTATGCCTAGGCTTTCAGACGCTGCGCAAAACAGAGAACAGATAGTCAACAGGACAACAAGATAGACAGTTCGGGCTGGCCAGCTTACCTCCCAGTGATGTCGGGTGTCCTCCGGATAGGGATCGGGATCGGAACCGGGATCTTGGATCTCGGTGGAACCTCCAAAATGAAAGATCCACAGATCCCAAACCCGGAATGAACCACACGAGACACTGGCTACAAAAAGCAGGAGGCGTTTATTCTCACACAGGTGCCTGCGGGTGCTCAGCGTAACCTCAGCCGGAGCTTTGGTGAACTGGCACACCGGGCTTTGGGGTACAGATCTTTTATAGGGAACAGGTGGGTTAGTTCTTAGCTTAGCACAGCAACAGCCTTTCTATTGGTTCCTCTGAATCCAGCAGTTGGGTCACCTTAGGGGTAAACTTGTTTTTCAACTTTTTGTTCTCGGAAAAACCATAAAATTACATTCTGTCCTTTCAGTTCCTGTTTTTAAACCTAGTTCTCAAGTTTAATCGGTAGGGCTGTCTAAAAGGAACATCTTGTGGTAGGGGGCCCGTTAGGGTTATCTACATGGAACATCTTGTGGTAACATTGTGCAACACCTGAGGTGCTAGTGCTGCTGGAGGGGTTCTGACATGGGGGTTGGGTGAGGGAGAGTCTTGCAGCTTTGAGGCCTAGGGGTTAGGTCACCTAATGCTGGGCCTGGGTCTTGAGGTCCTTCAAGGGCAATATTTCTTGCTTTTTTACTATTAAATAATAGTGTTATTATTTTAAATAAATCATTTTAAACAAATTGAAAAAAATTGTTTATGAGTTTTTCTGTGGAAGCCTGCAATCAAGGGCTCCTGTGTATGAGCCAGGCTCAGCAGAGACAAAGTCTTCTGACATGATTGCAGGAACTTTTGCTCAGTATAATCCCAGATTATTCTGACAGTTCAGGTCATGACTGGGTCAGCATACCCCATGTCCCAGGGGATGACAGTAGAAATACACCTATTAATGTCCCATCTGCCACACTTCTTCACATGGTCATATGTAGTTGCTGGGAGACTGGACTCCATGGTCTCACTGTTTTTCTGGGCCATTCTGTTTCCAACTACAACCCAAGAGGACAAGGACTGGTAAAGCCAAGTACAGCAGGCATCTTTTCTCTGGCACATTGTTTAAATCATGAGCCAAGTTGGTGTGATGATGCTCTCCTCAGCTACTGGGGTTCTTTCTCTGTGATTTCTTTCCTCCTAGACATCCAGGAGTGCACCTTGGAGATCCTGCATCTGACCCTTCTCCCCAGCACTCTCCTCTCACTGCGCATGTCCAAGCCAGCATGTGCTGTCCCAGGATTGTGCAGCTACCACCTGTGGGACTTCCCCTTCTGCTTCGAAAGTCTTCTTCACCTCCATAGCCAGAGAAGGCTTAGGAAAATGAGGCCAGATCAGGTCTCTCCTCTTTTTAAAATCCTCCAATGGCTTCTCATAAGAAGAAACTCTAAATCTTTGCTCGAGGTCCATACAGTGGGCTCCACCCTAACTGACTTTATCTATTTGTGGATTTTCATCACAAGGCTCCAGTCATAGGGCCTCCTTGCTATTGTCCCACCCCACAAAGGAAAGTGGTCTATTCTAGCTCTTTGTACTCAAAATAGCAGAACAAGAGGGACTGAATGAGCTGCCTAAGGTCACAAGCTTAGAAGTAATGGAGTCAGGATTCAAATCTAGGTCAGTGTGGCTACATGTTCTGTATCACTTCTTCTACCTCATTACCCAAATTCTTCCTGAGTGCTTGATTGCTCAATAACAGATTCATGCAGGCAGTCAGTCCTTCCTGAGGAAAGGCTGCTAGGTGTCTCTAGGAGAAGTGCTTGCCTTTCCCAGGAGAACACAATGTCTTCTGCGTTCTGTCTCTGTTAGAAACCATCAGGAGCTTCTACTCCAAACCTGGTAGCCATGTAAAAGTAAAAGCATCATCAGGAATAAAGTCAGCACAGGTTAAATGGATCAGTCATTGTCCTCTCCTGGGCCAAATGGACAGACCCTCTTGGGGAGTTAACGCTGGCCTTCCTTGGGTTGGATACACTTATGCTGTTATTCCTGGAGAATCATCGCCATTTGGCACAGGCAGAATTAGGTGCACTTCTTACCCTGTTCATTGACTTACCTTTTTTTCTGAGCATTATAGTTGATTTAAAAGAAATGAAACACTTTTTCATGTGGATCAGCTATTTATTTACTTATTTATTTTTCACATTTTTTCTTTTCAAAATTTTTTTTATTTATACATAACAGCAGAATGCATTACAATTCTTATTACATATATAAAGCACAATTTTTCATATCTCTGGTTGTATACATAGTATATTCACAGAGCCATCCTTGAACCCCAATAAAGGTATTTCGGTGTTTGTGTGGTATTTTCATTGCCAGCCCAATTCACGCAAAGTGACCCTGACACCATTGCCCTGTGGGACATGGGAGATAAGAATTAATGCCAATACTCATCAAATTATAACTTAAATAGAAAGAGATGGAATATTTCCTAATTCATTCTATGAAGCTAGTATCACGCTTACACCAAAATCAGATAAGGACACATCAAGGAAACACAATAAAGGACCAATGTCCCTGATGAAAAATACTTAATAAAATGTTGGCAAATGGGTTTCAGCAACTTATGAAGAAGGCTATACATCACAACCATGTTGGTTTTATTCCAGAGGTGCAAAGATGGTTTAACATACACAAATCAATACATGTAATTCATCACATAAATAGAATTAAGGACAAAATCACTTAGGCATGTCAATTGACATAGACAAAGCCTTTGACAACACTCAGCACCCATAAAAACACTGAAGAAACTAGGGGTAGAAGGAACCTACTTCAACATCTGATATGGTTTGGATATGAAGTGTCCCCCAAAAGCTCACATGTGAGACAATGCAAGAAGGTTCAGAGGAGAAATGATTGGATTGTGAGAGTCTTCACCCAATCAATGAGTTAATCCCCTAATAGGAATTAACTGAGCAGTAACTGAAGTGGTAGGGTGTGGCTGGAGGAGGTGGGAATTGGGGCATGGCTTAGGCATACATATTTGTATCTGACAAGTGGATAACTCTCTCTCTGTTTCCTGATCACCGTGATGTTAGCTGCTTCCCTCTGCCACCTTCTCCCACCATGGGGTCCTGTCTTACCTGGAGCCCTGGGGAATGAAGATGGCCTTCTATGGACTAAGTACTCTGAAACCACGAGCTCTCAAATAAATTCTCTCTCCTCTATAATTGTGGTCATTGCATCCTTTAGTCACAGCAGTGAAAAAGCTGACTAAAACAACATCATAAAGACTATAAATGAAAAACCCAAAGCAAACCTCACAGTAGCAGAAAAACTGAAAGCATTTTCTTTAAAAGCTGGGACAAGACAAGGATGTCTACTGGCAACATTTCTATTTAATACAGTCCCTAAAATTCTAGCCAGAGCAATTAAGCAACAGAAGGAAATAAAGAGGATGAAAATAGAAAAGGAAGAAGTCAAATTATTACTATTGGCAGATGATAAGATCCTATACCTAGAAGATAAAAAAAAAAAAAAACTCCACCAAAAGACTACTTGTGCTAATAAACAAATCTGGTAATGTGGGTTACACAATCCATATACAAAATCAATAGATTTCCTACATGTCAACAATGAATCTGCTGAGAAAAAACCAGAACGATTCCATTCACAATAGCCTCAAGAATATACCAAAGAATAAAATTGGTCAAGGAGGTGAAAGACCTCTAAAAAGAAAATTTATGGAACACTGAAGAAAAAACTGAAGAAGACCTCAGATAATAGAAAGACCTCCCATGTTCTTGGATAGGCAGAATTAATAGTTAAAATGGCCATACTAACAACAGCAATATGCAAATTTAATGTAATTCCCATCAATATACCAATTCCATTCTTCACAGAACAAGAAAAAAGTCCTAATATCCACTTGGAAGTATAAAAGAACCAGAATAGCCAAAGCAATTCTAAGCCACAAAAGCAATGCTGGAGGCATCAAAATACCTTAATTTATATTATACTATGGAGCTATAGTAACCAAAACTGCAATGGTACTGGCATGAAAATACACAGGAAGACCAAAGAAACAGAAGAAAATACATTTGAGAATCCCACAATTTGATCCTTCACAAATGAGCCAAAAACATACATTGGACAAAAGATAGCCTTTTAAACAAATTGTGCTGGGAAAACCAGTGTATCCTATGCAGAATAATGAAACTATATCTTAATGGAAATCCTACAAGAAAGCAAAGGGTCAACAGTCTAGGATACAGGCACAGGCAATGACTTTTATCAATAGGACTCCTAAACTCAGGAATGCTCCTATGCCAAGAGTTAATTAATTAAAAACCTTCTGCATAGCAAAAGAAACAATTAGGAATATGAACAGAAAGCATACAGAAAAGGAGAAAATCTTTTCCAGCTACTCTTCTGACAGAGGATCAATATCCAGAATAAAAAACTAAAAAACAAAACAAAACAAAACAAAAACTTAATACCAAAACTAGATGATACAGCTAATAAATAGGCAAATGAATTAAACATATAATTTTCAAAGAAGAAATACAAATATATGAAAAATGTGCAACATCACTAACAATAAGGGAAACAGAAATCAAAACTCTCACCTGCAGCCCTCGCAGGTGATGAAAGCTGGGTTCCCCTGGGGGAGTGGGTTGGCTGGGAAATACTTTGAAAAATCACATGACACAGAAAGTAGTTTTAAAGACCAAGGTCAGGACAGCTCTTTGACCTTAAGGGTCCAGATTCCAAGCTGGAAAGAGAGCCTGAAAGCCCACATTTGCTTTATTTATATGGGGGAACCCCAAAGGTTTTCTACAGAATGTTCTTAGCCAATTAAAGAAGGAGATGGGCTGTCCACTTCCCAGTGGGTCACCTCCAACTCTGGAGAGCTATGGGATCAGTCTTCCTGGCCAGAGCAATGACAGAGATCACTTGCATTGCACAATCCATTAAGTGGAAGGAGCCACAAAATAGCTTGCAATGCCACACCAAAAGCTCCTTGGCTCCAAGGCCAAAAAAGAGGCTCAGGGGTGGCTCCCCACACAAAACTGCACTTATCTCATCTCAAGCCAGTCAGAATGACAGACATCAAGGACACCCATATAATAAACATGAGAATGTGGAGAAAAAGGAACACTTGTACTGTTGGTGGGATGGCAAATTAGTACAACCACTATGGAAATCAATATGGAGACTTCTCAAAATACTAAGCATGGAATCACCACATGACCCAGCTCTACTATCTTTCAGTGTTTATCCTGAAGAATTAATGTCATCTCTCTACACTGACACATGCATATCATGTTTTTAACAGCAAAATTCACAATTGCCAAACTATGGAATCAGATTAGGTTTCCATCAACAGATGAATGGATGAAGAAAATGTGGTATAGACACAATAGAGTTTTATTCAGCATGAAGAAAAATGAAATCATACCATTTGCAGGAAAATTGATAGAACTAGAAGACATTTTGTTAAACAAGGTAAGTTAAACTCAGAGGTCAAGGATCCTTTTTTCTCTCATAAGCAGAAACTAGAGAGGAAAAACAAAGAAATGTGGGGTGGATCTCATAAAAATCAAAGAAAGATCAGAAGAAGAATGGGACCAAGGGGTGGAGGATGCATATGCCAGGCAGTGATATTAGCCAAAATATTTTTAAATTGTGTGCATAAATCAATATGTAACAACAAATTCCATCATTATGTACAACTATAATATACTAGTATAAATTGTGTGAAAAATATATTAGTTTGATTGCATCATAATAATTGTAAAAACATTAAAATATTTGTATTGGTCACAGAAATGGCATAGCAAAATAATATCAACCTAATCTTTAGGTCCATATTTGGAAATAAAAATTTTAAAATACAAATAAGCTATCAATAATGTGATATTTAGATCCTAAAGTTATTAATGACTATTTGGCTTTTAGGGTACTATTTAATCAGCTAGCATTTGGGTGATTTGAGTACATAAAACTCAATCAAATGGTTGTGTACTTGCACTTCAAATTTAGCTGTAGATGCCAAGAAATAGTTTTTGTTTTAATATATGTTCACATTTTTCAACTTTGTGAAATCTGTGTTCACACACACACACACACACACACAGACATGCACACATATTATCACCACCAAAAAATAAAGTCTAAATCCACATTAGTGGAAAAACTTAACTATATAGCCTTTTTCTATATAGCCTCGCGAATAAGAGGAATTTTGAATAGTGGCAAAATATTTTGCTATAAAGTAATATTTTACAGTGAATGTAGCTAAAGTTGTCCTAAGATAAAATATATAGTCTTATGTATTCATTTTTGAAAGTCTA